CCCTGTGTGTCTCATCTTCTCAAGATAAAGGAGATGGCTAGGTTTCCCCACTGACCTAAGAACTGGCCTCTCACAGGGGACTTTCTCCTTCTTCTCCAAGGTGCCTCCAAAGCCTGGACTGGCTGATTTCAGATCAACACTTGCTCAAGGTGCATTACCCCCAATTCGAAGTGTCCGAAGACTGCCTGTACCTAAACATCTATGCACCGGCCCACGCTGTTATGGGCTCCAATCTCCCTGTAAGGCTGCCAGGCGGGCTGGGGCTCTGACCTCAGGTTTCTTGGCCTGGGATCCAGGCAGGGTGGCTGGGTGTTTGGAATCAGACCTACCTCCCTGTTGGGTAAATGAAAATGTAGTCTCTGGGTACATCAGTAACTCTTAAGAAAAACCATTATCAGGATAAATTTGGTTTTTCTCTTTTCTGACTGATTCTTTATTGCAATTTTGACCTTTGATTTTTATTTTGATGTGCTTGTCCCCTCTGTTGAGTCTTTAAGGATCTGTAACCTTCTAGAAAAGTCATGGGTTTAAAGGACTCTTCTAAAAGGTTTTTATTTTTCTTTCTAATTGTTGTTGTTAAGTGCCATCGAGTCAGTTCCGACTCATGGTGACCCTGTATAGGGTTTCTGAGGAGCAGCTGATGAGTTTGAACCTCCGACCTTGCAGTTCAACCTGATCTTAGGGTCAAGTGGTTATCCTGCATTGCCACACCAGGACTCCTTTATAATGAGATCATTTAATCCTTCAACATTTCTGTTTGCAAGTTAGACAGTAATAATGCTAAATATTTAATTTATGAATGTAAAAAGGTCTCTGTATAAGTGGGGCGGGAGGAAGAGGGGAGGATACATCTTAGGATCTGTTTTTTAATCACATCTTCCCATCATTTTCTCTCTCCCATGTTCCCACAATGGGACACTTGCTCTAATGTGTCTTCATAGCGACATCTATGGGCCAGGCACAGGGCACAGTCATGATCCCCACGTAACCCTCTGGAGTAAGGATTGTTGTTGTTGTCAAGTGCTGTCGAGTCGCTTCCGACCCATAGTAACCCTGTATAGGGTTTTTGAGGAGAAGCTGGTGGGTTTGAACTGCCGACCTCGCAGTTCAAACTGACCTTTCAGTCCAGTGCATTATCCTACAGTGCCACACCAGGACTCCGGAGTAAGGATTAGTTGACCCATTTCACAGATAAAGAAGATGAGGCCCAGGGAGAGGATAGGCGAATTGCTCCCTATTGCACACACAATAAATGGTAAAATCCTGCTACCAAAACCAGTGCTTCCTCCTCGGTGATTTCTTCTCTTTTTTTGCCCCCAGCATCACCATCTCTGGTATGACCTTTTTTAAAATAAAATAACTAAAGCGTTTTGTAATTAAATCTATAAATAGTGGTAACACTATTTGATGGCCCTCAGGTGGAGCAGTGAGTAAATTTCTTGGCTACAAGGTAAGGAGCTCTGCTAGCATTGTGGTTATGAATCGGGCTGCTAACCTCAAGGTCGGCAGCTCGAAACTACCAGCCGCTCTGCGGGAGAAAGATGAGGCTTTCTGCATTCGTAAAAATTTACAGCCTGTGAAGGGTCACGATGAATTGGAACCAACTCCATGGTACTTAACAACAATTAAAAAGTGACTGGCTTAATTCTAACATGTGCTTTACAGGAGAAAGACATAGAAGTCTGCTTCTATAAAGACTGTTGTTAAGTGCCATTGAGTCATTCCAACTCATAGGGTTTCCAAGGAGCGGCTGGTGAGTGCTTATCATACAGCGCCACACCAGGATGCATATATAGTAGTCACGTGAGTGTAGCATATACCCAACTCAAGAAGAGTTCTACTCTGTCCTGTTGTTGTTGCTAAGTGCCTTCGAGTCGGTTCCGACCCATAGCGACCCTGTATAGGGTTTCCAAGGAGATGCTGGTGAGCTTGAGGCGCCAATCTTGCAGTTCAAACGGCTTTGCAGTCTGGCGCATTAACCCACAGCTCCACATCATAAGTCAAACTGACTCACTCGTATCAAATTTGATTGGAGTTTAATACTACTTGGTAATAAGCCTGTGTGGTATAGTGGATTAGCTGCTAACTGTAAGGTCAGCAGTTTTAATCTATGATTAAAACTGCTGTGAGGGAGAAGGTGAGGCTTTCTTTTCCAGTAAAGATTTACAGTCTCGGAAACCCTACGCTGAACCGACTTATCGGCACACAACCACAAACAGTAGTTGGGAATGTCCTAATTTTTCTAGTCAATATAGTAATGTTTTTACACTTCTCTTACTTGTTTCTCCTCTCCTTTATTGATGTTGTTAAGTGTCATCAAGTTGGTTCTAACCCATAGCAACCCTGTATAGGGTTTCCAAGGAGTGGCTGGTGGGTTTGAATTGCTGACCTTGCAGTTAGAAGTCCAGTGCTTATCTTACAACATCACAAGAACAAAACTCACATCAAAACAACTGACACTGCTTTTACTCTCCTATATGACTTATAATTATTTCCATCTTCTAGGGGATTGTAGGCTTAATGAATACTTGAAATGTGCTGAAATTGAGCCTTAAATGTATAATTTTGTTGAAATCTCATAAGAACATAAGGTAAATACTTTCATTCTTCACTTTCTTAGTTTTCATCTTATAGATGAGAAAAACAAGTCTCAGAGAGGTTAAGTAATCTATATAAGGTCACACAGCTAGTCCATAGCAGAACTAGAAGTCAAACCCAGGCATTTGGACACCAGAGTGCACATGCTGCCTCCTTCACGAAAAAGAACTTTCTGCTCTTACTTGGAAACAAAACTGGGACATTTGTATTTCCCTGAATGAAGAAATGTCCCAGCATGCATGGGGAATGGATGTGGGTGTTTGGCAGGTTGATTGGAGAATTCTTCTTTCCTCCTTAGGTCATGGTATGGTTCCCTGGGGGTGCTTTTGAGAAGGGCTCAGCCTCCATATTCGATGGCTCTGCTTTGGCTGCTTACGAAGATGTGCTTGTTGTGACCACCCAGTACCGGCTAGGAATATTTGGCTTCTTCAAGTGAGTCTCCCCAAATGTCTGACATCCTCAACCCCAAAAGGTAGGGCACACTTGTACCCTAAACCATAGATGATTCAGTGCCCAGAAACCTAAGAAAGAATGAGCCTTCCGTAAAGGTGAACAAAATGTTCCCAGGTTAGTGAAGTAATTTTTGCAGCCAGAACAGATAAACTCCCAAACCTTAGTGACTTAACACAATAAACTTCTCTTTCTCACTCATCATGTAAAGTCTAGTCAGGTTAGCTGACATTCTGCCACATGGTCAATCAGGGACACAAGCTCTGTCTATCCTGTGGCTTTGAGCTCCTCTAGGAGCATTTGCCAGGAGATGGAGGGAGAGAAAACATGGAGCATATGAGGAAGGATTTTCCCGGCCAGCCTGAAGGTGGCGCTCATCACCTCTGCTCAATACCATTAGTAGAACTCAGTCTCACCGACACAATCCAACTGCAAGAGGGATGGGGAAATGTAGCTGTGTAAGTAGTCAGAGCCTGCTCCGAGATTCCAAAAATACCCACATGAGACTAATCACTCCACTGACATCTACAGCAATATCTGGTACATACTGGGTGCTTACTATAAGCCAGGCACAGTGCTGGGCATTTTCCATGCATAATTCCAACCCGGCCTCAAAATAATCCTGTAAGAAATGTACTGCGACTAGCTCCATTTCACAATTGCAAAAACTGAGGCACAGAGTGGTTAATCAACTCCCCCAAGGTTACAGAGCAGAGCTGGGTCTCTTGACCACTTCCAGTACCCTGTCCAGGATATAGCGGAAGTCTCAATTCCTGGCTTGGAAAAAATGTGACCAAAGAGGAGTAGTTTCAAGGCCACTGTCAGAGACTGTGGGGAAGGCAGCCATCTGTGAGTCAAACACGAAACCTACCTTCAAGAGCCTCAGTCTAGTGGGCGAGATAATGCAGAGACATTCATGTCTATGGGACTAGGCAGGGCCCCTTTAATACTCTAAGTTCTTGTAGGAACTTGTAGGAATCTGAGTGTTTTCATAAGAGAGGTGGCCTTCAAGTTGCACTGTAAATTTGGTTGGGTTTGGGGAGGCGAGGTTAATAGAGAACATGCTCAGCAAGGAGGGCTACTTAAGCAAAGGCTAGGAAGTTAGAAAGGAATGTGGGGCTGAAGCAGTATTTCCAAACTGTGCTTGGAGCCATTAGCACTGGGAGGTGGTTCTGGGGATGCTGGGAAGGCAAGGGAGGCCGAGAAGTGTGCTCTGACTCAAGCCACTTATACATTTAGCTGATCTGCAAATTCCGATTCAACTAAGATTCCTTTGGCACAAAGGTTTCCAAAACTTTGTTTAAACTGCCTGGGTTTGAGCCTAGGAAGATGAGGGTATATAGCAGGAGACAGGTATAGAAAGGCAGTGTGAGGCCTGATTGGGACAGGCCTCCAGTACCAGATGATGTGGAGTTTGAGCTTTATCCAATAAGGACTGAGGAATCCAGGAATGCGCTGCTCAGGCCAGTGCAGCAAGGCGCTCACTCCAGAGCAGAAAGGAGGCTGGCCGAGTGGGGCACAGGCTGTATATAGATGGGGAGTCCAGTTGGGCAGCTAGTGCCCAGGGGGTCTACAGCTCATGACGGGTGAAGCATACGGAGTTGGTTGAAAACTAAAACTCATTGTCTAACATGTAGTGTCCTTATTGTGGGCCTGATGCCATAGACATTCACAACAACCTTGGGATACAGGCATTATTATTATCCCAACTTAAGTCACAAAAGAATTGATGCTGATGAAAAACATCCTATGCCAGAGGCTGAGATCGTCCCCATTAGACCCTAATGCTGCTCACAAGAAAGAGAAATGGAGGAATGGGTACCATGATGGGGTTAAAGTTGGTAGGACCTGGCTCCTGACCGGAAGAGACGAGGTGGAGTCAGAGCCAGTCTGGTGGTCTCTGACAGAGAAGGGAACAGAATGCTGGGTAGCTTTTCAGGGGTCACAGTCATCTCCTGGGAAACCTATGAATGCCCTGAAGTCCTGCCTACAATATTGTCCATGCTTTATTCTGTGATGAGGGGTCATAGCTTTCATCAGCATCTCCAAGAAATGGAAATACCAGCAAAGGGTAAAGACGAAGCCCAGTTTTTCATCTCTCAGCGTCTTCTTGTGGATGCTGCCTAGAACCCTCTAGGCTGCGGGAAGCAGAGGGTGGCCGACTGAGAGTTCTCATTCTGACTCTTGCCTCCAGCACAGGGGACCAGCACGCTCCGGGGAACTGGGCCTTAATGGACCAGGTGGCTGCCCTCACCTGGGTCCAGGAGAACATTGAGTTCTTTGGTGGAAACCCGGGATCTGTGACCATCTTCGGCGAGTCAGCAGGGTCGATAAGCGTTTCCAATCTTGTGAGTTCTGTGCTCTGTGACTTGAATGAACCTCGGTGGGGAGGTTCAGCAAAACAAGGGCAATGACTCACTCACATGTGATATGTGCTTTCATGTTGAACAAACACTTCTATATGCACTATCTCCCCGGAGCCTCAGATACATTGTGAGTGAGGGTCTCAGTTGTTTTGTGGACAAGGCAGCCATCATCGGAAGAGTTTAAATGAATCATGTAAAGTCACGGAGGGAATAATAACTTTAGTGTTCTTGTTGTTCAGTGCTGTGGAGTCGGTTGCATCTCATAGCAACACTGTATAGTGCTTCCAAAGAGCTGTTGAGAGGTTTGAACTGCTGACCTTGCGGTTAGCATATTGGAAGAGTTGAAGCCCTGGGTCATTACTTGTTTAACAGAAACACTTCAGTTGAGGCATTAAAGACTAAAGGATATAATATTAATGCTTTGTTTTAACTTAACACATAAAATATACATCTCCACCGTTGGTTTGATATGATGACTCTGGATCCAACATGGACTTTCTTGCAGAAGCCACCTTCAGAATTCACTGTCCTCAGATTGCACGTTCAGTTTCTTTGTAGTGAACATGAATCTATCAACGTCTGCCAAGCAGTAGGGCGGCAGCACAAGCCGGAAGTTGTATACTTTTCCCTCAAATATTTGATTCTTATCTCCTCCACACCTAATTTGGCAACATGTTTTTAAGCTACTTTTCTTTATGAAGTTTGTTCATTTTTTTCCCCTGCAAAGAATTTTATTTTCTTTATACACTCATAGTTTATTGAGTCATGTATCTCATTCAATTATGTAATCAAAATAGAAAGTGCAACTGAAAAAACTGGTTTGGAAGCAAATACACCTGGCTTTTCATAAGAAGCTGGTGGGGACAGAAATTGGAGGTACTAGAAAATGGCTCACTGGCTTTGAGCAGTCAGTATTTACTGGGTAACAGTGAGCAGGTTTTACAGAAGGCAATAGAGAGTTTTATGTAATCTCCAAAGTCAGTTAGGGGAGGTGGATTAAGAGAGCTTCTGTTGACTAGCACTTGACAATATAGACATACTTTTATATCTTCAAAGCAACCCAATGCATAAGGTGGATTATACAGTAATGACCTTCATTTTTTCAGTGCTGACTACTGACCTATATGTTAATACTTCCCCTATTCCTCAAAACAACCCTGTAATGTGGCTCAATTATTAGCCTAGGGGAGTAAACTGATGCTTAGAAAAGTTAAGCAATAACTAGGAAGTGAAGGGGCTAGAATCCACATGCCAGTATGTTTGACTGCCAAGTTCATGAGAGACCCGGATGTTCGGCCTTCGTAAATACTCCTTGAACATCAAACCAAGAATTCTTCCTCTAAATTGAAAGGTTTCCTGGAAGAAGGATGAGCGGTCCTCTGGATAATTTCCCCTGGATCTTCCTGTGTTCTTTTTCCAGGTTCTGTCTTCCATGGCCAGTGGCTTATTCCACAAAGCCATCATGGAGAGTGGAGTCGCCATTATCCCTTACATCATGGCCCTGGACAGTGAGAGGAACCAGGATGTAGGTATATTGCTAATGCCTCTCGGGCGTCCTCTCTTAGTCAGGAGAGAGTGCGGTCAGGAGTCAATAGACTGACTCCTTTTCACCCTGTGTTTGGCTTTCCTCACTGACCATGCCCCAAGAATCTGATGCTGGCCCAAGGTGAAACTTGCTCCCCCCTGGAAGGTCTGACGCAATAGAAAATGGGCCCAGCTCTACAATGTAGCCCAGCTGGTGTGAGTGTGGTATAGTTTTTACATTTTATCCATTACGTTTTGCTTGTGACATGTAACTCAGCCCCCTGGGTTGTAGATGGCTCATCCACCACCTGTCCCTGCTCTACTCCACAGGGAACGGTTTTCTAGAGGGCGACATCAAGAAGGGTTCTGAGTCTGTTTCCAGCTCAGTGGGAAAGAACGTTATGACTGATGAATGTCTCGGCTGGCATGGAATTGTGTGAGGGAGGTGGAGACTACGTCCCAGATATTTATCATCTGTCATGTTGTCTTATGTTTCTACTAGATGGTGAGGACTTACTTGGTGTGTTGTTGTTGTTGTTGTTGTTGTTGTTAAGTGCCATCGAGTCGATTTCAACCCATAGCGACTCTCTATAGGGTTTTGAGGAGCAGCTGGTGAGCTTGAACTGCCAACCTTGTGGTTCAAACTGACTCTGCAATCCAGTGCACTCACCCACAGCACCACACCAGGACTCCTTGGTTTGTCAGGAGTGGGATGTAGTAGGCAACTATACATGTTTTCTGATTGAGTGAGTTCATGGCTGAGCTGACTCAGTCAGTGCATATGAATAAACCACTGGGTTGTGGAGACATCTTCTGTAGGTTAATTTCAGTGGTGCATTTTCTTCAACACCGTATAGAGGGGAAAAAAAGTGCCAAGAACAGAAACACAAATTTATGAAATTGGAAAAATACCCTTAAAACACAGGGAACATTGATTACTTTTGTTGTTGCTCAGTGCCATTTAATTGGTTCTGACTCATAGTGACTCAATATAGGGTTTCTAGGTGGATGGTGGGTTTGAACCACCAATCTTATAGTTAGCAGTCCAGTGCTTACCCTATAGCACCACACCAGGACCCTGGATCTTCAGTTATGGTAACATTATATATAAAGTTATTTTCAGTTTGTGTATCTATATATATATTCTGATTTACCACACACTCACTGAAGGCCTCCTGTTTCCCCAGATCTATGTTAGCATCTGTGTGTTTTTACAAGTAGTGAAGGTATATCCTAAACTCAAGGAGACTGTAACCATCTATTCCAAAGGGTTTTAACCTGGAATCCAAGGATAGGTTGGAGAAGTGGGCCTTGAACTCTTACAATCATATGCAAACTCCATGTGCTTATGCCTTTTCCTGGTGAGAGGAGCTTCTATAGGTTTCACTGAATTCTCAGAACACCCGTAACTCCCAGAAGATTAAGGACTATTACTTTCAGGGGACAAGTTTACATATGTGGAATGTTCAATGACAGGCAAGAAGGTGCTTAGTCAAGTGCTAGGTTGGGAAGGGGCTCCTTGGGAGATTAAGAAGCAAGGATTCATGGAGATTGTAACGGTCTAAATGAATGTCCTGGAAAAGGTGGGATTTGAGCCTTGAAGAATGAATGGAATTGCTATAGAGACAAAAAGTAGGCGCCCAGGACATTCCAAGCTTAGTGTGGGCAGTGGGGCTGAGCAGAGCTAACTAGCCAAGCTGCTCATCTCTCCCAGGGATCCTCCAGGTCTGGCTCCATTTAGCAGTCAAGGCGGCATGGCTTGGCTCCATAGGCTGAGTGCCAGTGGATCCAAGGTTGTGGGACTGGTCTTTCTGAGAGCCAGGAATCTGAACCCCAGGCTGACTAAAGCCACGCAAGGCAGTATGGGTGATGCGGCAACACTGTCTTGGCTGCTGTCCCGCCGATGGCTATGTTCTACCGGCGGGCACCCAAGGGTGGGGAGGGACAGCAGTTTGGACTTCCTATATGGATGAAGCTGTGGTTTGATTCCTGACTGATTCCAACTCTGCTTTTCCAGATGGTTTGAGTACCATGCTCTGATCTTGCTTTTCTCTGGAATAGTTGCAGTTCCTTGCGCATATCTGTGATTGCAACCTGACAGACTCATTGGCCTTGCTGCAATGCCTGAGGGCAAGACCCCCTGAGGAGTTACTGAGCCTCAGTCAGGTAGCGGGAAGGGAGAGCGTTGGGGCAGGGTTACCCTTTCACTGGAGTGGTGGGCTTTTTCTGTTGGGAAAGAAAATCTTATCATCCTGTTAGTTTCTTTGCTCTGGGACTTAGAAAGCTATAAAAAGTACTGTGGGCTATAAAGCCCCTATTGGCAATCCAAGGAACTTGGTGGGGTGAGGGTCCTACTTAGCCTGGGGAATTTAGTAAAATGCAAAAGTTGTCTCTAAGTCATTGAAGACATCTCACTGGGAAGAAAGATCACACTTGGTCCTCATGCCTGTGGAAGATAAAGTCAAGATCAAGAGCTGGAAATTCTGTTAGGAAGTCATTTTGGCTTGGTACAACCGTGAACTTTCTAAAACCTAAGTTGCCTGGAAGAAGACTGAGCTTCTTAAGAAGGCAGTGTGATACCCACCTCTGCAGGTATTCAAACGAAATCTAGATGACTACTGATAAACTTTCAACCACTGGATGGTTCATTGGACTGGGTGATCTTTTGTGTCCCTTCCAATCTTGAGAACCTTCCACCATCTTTGAAAGAGCTAGGCTGTTCTCTGTCAGCTTCCAACGTTTGTTAAATAGTTATTCAGCATGTAAGGAGAATATGTCATGAGTCAGATATGGTGACAGTTCCACAGTCCATGAAGATGGATAATCAGTCTTTGGTTTGATGTAGCATGAAAGCTCTTTTGTGTGTTCTCTTTTATCTATACACTCAAAAGTAAAACCTAAAAAAATTAAAAATCATGATTTGAGCCAGGCCTTGCTCTCTGAGACTTAAGAGATAGGCAGCCATCCTCAAAGCCAAGTGTTGTCTAGAAGACGTCTCAGGGGGGCATTTGGTCCTGATCATCCCCTCCCCTCATCACTTTGCCCATTGGGCTTGGCCAGTGGTTCTCAAAGTTGAGTGCACATCACAGATCACCTGGAGGGCTTGTTTTCTGAGCTGCACCTCTCGACTTTCTGATTCAGTAGGCCTGCAGTAGGGTTTGAGACTTCACATTTCGGGCATGTCCCCAAGTATACTGACACTGCTGCTCTGGGAAGCACTTTTTGAGAACCACAGCTGTAGGCCACTATTTGTGTTCAGTAGATTCTTTTTATTACCCTTTCAGTAGATGAGGAAACAAGCCCAGAGCAGTCGAGTCCCCTTGCCCACGTAAATGGAAACGCTGCTCCACCACTGATTTCTTTTTCTTTCCCTGGTGAATTTTGACCATAGCTAGGCTGAGCGGGCTCAGCTTGGCTAGAACCTGGGGATAGCAGTTGGAACAAAAACAGCTGCTGATTTTTCTTTCTCCTCCATTTCAGAAAACAAAGTCTTTCACTCAAGTGATTGATGGTCATTTCTTTCGTGACAGTCCTGTAGACATATTGGTTCAAAAAGCATTTAATCCAATTCCTTCGATCATTGGCGTCAACAACCACGAATGTGGTTACTTGCTACCCATGGTAAGAATCCCACTGTCTTCTCTGTTGCTTAATTGTTGTTGTTGTTGTTGTTATGTGCCGTGGAGTCGGTTCCGACTCATAGTGACCCTGTACAGGGTTTTCGAGGCTGTAAGTCTTTATGGGAGCAGAAAGCCTCATCTTTTTCCCATGGAACAGCTTGTAGTTTCAAACTGCTGACCTTGAGGCTCACAGCCCAATTTGTAACTACTACGCTACCTAGTAGGCTGTGACAATCTTTCCTCTGGCTAAAAGAGGGTAACTGAAGACTGGTGGTTGGGAGACTACACAGATGCCTTCCTTGATCCTCATGCAGGTATTTGCTGAAAGAAGCAACTATGTACAAAGGTAAGAGAGAATTGTATACATTTGATTGTTATTAAAGACATTAAAATGATTGTTTTAGATCAAGATAGCTATTACTGCAAAGGTGGAATTCAGATAGGTTGGGGAAACTTCAGTCTTTTAAGCTTTCATGTCCTAACTTTTTGACATCCAAGAATGCTCTGTAAGGTTGTACAAGCTGCAAAATTACTAAATCATTATATTCGTTCAATAAGTATTTACTGAGCATTTACTATGCTGTATACTCTTCTCTTCTACACTCTGGTAGCGTAGTGGTTACGAATCGGGCTGCTAACCTCAAGGTCAGCAGTTCGAAACTACCAGCTGTTCCACGGGAGAAAGATGAGGCTTTCTGCTCATGTAAAGATTTACAGCCTCAGAAACCCTGTACAGGGTCACTATTAGTCAGAACAGACTCTACAGTGCTTAACAAAAACAACAATAGGATATAGGCTACAATTAGACCCATCACTTGACACTGGCCATGGTACCCTAAATTTTGGAGTCCTGGTGTGGCCCTGTCGGCTAATGCATCAGACTGCAAAGCTGTTTGAACTGCAAGGTCAGTGGTTCAAGCTCACCAGCTGCTCCTCGGAAACCCTATACAGGGTCGTTATGGGTCGGAACCGACTTGGCGGCACTTAACAACAGCAACCACACTCTTCTAGAAACTGAGGATTCAACAGTCTGTAAGGCCCATGATACCAGCATTCAGTCAGTCAGCTTGCCAGGGGAGAGGCGATGGCAGGGAGTGAGAAATGCTACTGAAGGCATCACTTGGAAAGAAGCCTTCTTTAGTAAGAGCAAGGAGGTCAGGAAAGGTGCCTATGAAGAGGCATCATTAGAGGTAACACCTGGATACTGGAAAAAAACAAAAAAAACAAAAGCAGTTGCTAGCAAGTCAACTCTATCTCATGGTGGCCGCACAAGTGTCAGAGTAGAACTTATTTTCAGTGGCTGATTTTTGGGAAGTAAAACACCTGGCCTTGCTACCAAGCTACCTGTGGGTGCCCTTCACTTAGCAGCTGAACACCTCAACCATTTACACCTTCAGGGTCTCTGGATGCTGAGAAGGGACTATGATTTCTTAACTCTAAGGTTTAGGAAAACCCTTCCATTTAAAACACTGTTCATCCATTCTCAGAAGAGTGATGGATTCAAATTTACAATACCATCAAAGTTCATTGATCTTGACCAATCTCTTTATTTTAAACCAGGTGAGGGAAGGTTAAGAAATAAAACGGCTTTTAAAAGTATGAGGAGTCTCTGTTTTCTCCATAACACCCTCACCGCCTCGCTGGCGGACATTCCCACCACTGGTTTCTCAGAGGCCCGCCTTGCAAAGGTCTTAAGAAGGAGTACAACGAGCTTCTAGTTTCAAGATTTTCTAGTCTCCCCTTAAACTCAATATCAAAGATTTTCTAGTCTCCCCTTAAACTCTTCCCATAGGGTGGTCACTTGGGCTCCAAAGACCACAGATATGGCTGGACACGACTGCTTTTTATCAACTGTGACAAAGGTCAACCCTGCTGAGGGTGTTCCTACGTGTGTCAACTTTGGGGGAGTGGGTCCCTCTGAGAGCTGGGCCTCAGTTCATCTGGTGACCAGGAGTGCTCACAGAGGATACTCTGCTTCTCTTCACAGAAGGAGATTCCTGAGATCTTCATGGGCTCCAACAAGTCTGTCTTATTCCTCTTGATGCAGTCAATCTTGGTGAGTGAGCCTGGGAGTCTGTGACTTCCAGAGATTTGCTCATTTAACAAATATCCCCAAGGCCCCATTCTGGAGGTATAGTCATTCCCTTCCTCATTCATTCATTCATTCATTCGTTCAATAGACCTTTACTAAATGCAGGTCCACCATGCATAACCATATTCTGAAATCTAAAGAGCGCTGAAACCAAACATGGGCTACTTTGCTATGTGGCCATTAGTCTTTTGTTGTTGTTGTTTTATTGTGAATTATGTGATAGTTTACATGGTAGAACATTAACTTTGCATTCATCCTATCGTATATTGTTACATTGCCATGATTACAATCTCTTCCATGCATCAAGTAACCCTGCAAGCCTGCCCCATGGTTGTCAGCACCCAGCCCCTCTCCCTCTCTGGGTCTAGAGTCTCCAGCCACTCCATCTCTCCACATCACCATCTCTGCCTCCATCTCTGGCATCACTGTTTCTCTGGGTTGGGTACTGCACTCTTCTCCCTTGATGGTCCCAGGGACCTCCGCTCCTAGACTGCAAAGTCAATCACTCCCCTCCTTTTGCTACAAAATATCTACCTTTACATTTCCAACCCTCACAGTCAGTCCTGATAGCAGTTATTCACTATTGTGACACAAGAGACTTATCCCCATCTCCTTTCATCAGTCCCACCCAGACAGATTGGATACTACTCAGAGGAGATTCTACCTTCCTCCATGCCCTCTGGAGCTAGGCTCCCTCTTGAAAGCTTGTAAATCAGTCACTTCTTGCATCCATATGTATAGATGAAGTTCATCAAATTGTATCAGATCTCTCTTTTTTCCCTTTTCTTTCTTCTTCTACTTGAGTTCTGATCATCCAGCCACTGAAGCCAGGTCAAGTGGGTATTATCTGCAAGTGTGGGTGTTCTTGTGTATATGCCCTCTCCTCTTCTCAGTTGGAGGCGTCACTCTCCACTCTACTCATCTGTGGCTATATCACTGACTCTGGGCCCAGGAATACCCAGGTCTTGCCATACTGCAGCCGTTGTTGTTGTTGTTGTTAGGTGCTAGCGATTCTGTACCGACCCATAGCAACCTTATGCACAGCAGAACGAAACACTGCCTGATCCTGGGCCAACCTCACTACTGTTGCCACACTTGAGTCCATCGATGCTGCCACTTGGCCAATCCATCTTGTTGGGGTTCTTCTTCTTTTTCTCTGCCCCTCTACCTTACCAAACATGATATCTTTCTCTAATGACTGGTCCTTCCTGACAATATGTCCGAAATATGAGAGATGAAGTTTGGCCATCTTGGCCTCCAAGGAGCAATCTGGCTGCATTTCTTCCAAAATGGATCTATTGGTTCTATGGGCAGCCCGTGGCACTTTCAATATTCTCCTCCGACATCATTACTCAAAAGCATCAATTCTTCTACGGGCTTCCTTATTCACTGTCCAGCTTTCGCATTCATATGAGGTTATTGAAAATACCATGGCTTGGGTCAGGCATACCTTAGTCCTCAAGCTGACATCTTTGCTCTTCAACACTTTAAAAAGGTCTTGTGCAGCAGATTTGCCTAATGCAATATGTTGTCTGATTTCTTGACTGCTGCTTCCATGAGTGTTGATAATTGATCCAAGAAGAATGAAGTCCTTGACAACTTCAATCTTTTCTCCATTGATAAGAGTGTTGTTTATTGGTCCAGTGGTGAGGATTTTTATTTTCTTTACATTGAGATGCAATCCATTCTGAAGGCTGTGCTCTTTGATCTTCATCAGTAAAATGCCTTTACTTTCAGCAAGCAAGGTTGTATCATCTGCATATTGCAGGTTGTTAATGAGTCTTCCTCCAATCCTGATGCCACGTTTTTCTTCATATAACCCAGTTAATCAGATTATTTGCTCAGCATACAGGTTGAATAAGTATGGTGAAAGAATATACCCTTGTCCCACACCTTTCCTAATTTTAAAACATTCAGTGTTTCCATGTTCTATTCGAATAACTGCTTCAGGTACAGATTCCTCATGAGCACAAGTAAGTGTTCTGGAATACTCATACTTCGCAATGTTGTTCATAGTCTGTCATGATCCACACAATCGAAAGCCTTTGGGTAGTCAATAAAGTACAGGTAGACATTTTTTTGATATCCTCTGCTTTCAGCCAAGATCCATCCGACATCAGCAATGATATCCCTCGTTCCACGGCCTCTTCTGAATCTTGCTTGAACTTCTGGAATTTCTCTGTCAATGTATGATTGTAGCCATTTCTGTATTACCTTTAGCAAAACTTTACTTGCATGGGATATCAAAGAGATTGTCCGATGATTCCCGCATTCCTTTGGGTCACCTCTTTTTGGAATAGTCTTTATTATCTATTTACTGTTTTTCTCACTGTGGCTCACATATTTCTCTGGGGACACATTAATTCAGGTGTTGCCCTAAGGCCCACTGAGCACATCACACACAGTGTGAAATCCGTACTAAATGGTCCCTCTGCTATCTGAAAAGTTCTGAATTCTGAAGCACTGCTGGGACTGGGGACTTTACTACATGCTAGGCACACACTGAGCTGGTTTCTAGCAAGTCTGAGGCCTGTCACTTCCTTAATCATTTATTCGTTCGTTCATAGAAAAAGCAAGTCATTAGCAGGTTTTACTCTAGATTTTAGGATCTAGAGATGGATTCCTTCCTTCCTTTCTTTGATGATCATCTGCTCATTGTGGACTATGTCAGGTTCATGTCACTCATTTATGAGTTAAACAAAGGGTTGCGGAGGGTCCCAAGGCTGCTGTATTCTCCTTGGCCCTGGGTGTGTGATGATAATCGGGCATTCTCCCACCCACCCCATGCTTCAGAAACTTGTACACTGTTGGGGTGGAAGTATAGGAGTGCACGCTGTGCAAGCAAGGTTGTATCATCTACATATCAAAGGTTGTTAATAAGTATTCCCCCAATCCTGAAGGCACATTTTTCTCCATATAATCCAGCTTCTGCAATTATTTCTTCAGCATACAGTCTGAATAAGTATAGTGAAAGATTACAAGCCTGATGCACACCTTTCTTGATTTTAAACCATTCCATTTTCCCTTGTTCTGTTCGAACAACTGCCTCTTGATCTATGAGCACAATCAAGTGTTCTGGAATATTCATTCTCCACGATGTTGTCCATAGCTTGTCATGATCCACACAGTCAAATCCTTTGTGCAGTTAATAAATGACAGGTAAACATCTTTCTGGTATTCTTTACTTTCAGCCAAGATCCATCTGATGTTAACAGTGATCTCCCTCATTCCATATCCTGGTCTGAATCCAACTAGCTTAGGTATAATAGCAAAGGGATGGACCCCAGAAGCCAGGCCAGTTGTGAGACCTGTGCCTCCTATCAGAAAGCAAAAGGCCACCTGTCAGAAGGGTGCTCTGCTGGCACCATCTTGAAAGCGGTACTAATTTTGAACAAGAGGCCCTCCCTGACTTTTCGCTTGCCTTGAGTCCCACAGTTATGCTCAGTGACTGTTTCTGGAACATAGTAGGGAGGTCATGGATATTGTGGTCAAGGGCATGGAACTTAAAGGCAAATACAGTTGTGAAGAATCATGATTCCATCCTTTTGAACAAACCACTTAGCCATATTGAGCGTCAGTTTCCTCATCTCTGAATGAAGGTTAGTCTTGATACCTACATCACAGTGTTGCTGTGCAGCTTAAAGGAGATAACACACAGCATGCTCAGAACAGTGCGTGCTCACAGAGAATGCGTGACATGCTAGCCACTGTTGACCTGGATCTCTGGTGACTGATTTTTCCCAGAAAATCCCCAGGCACTATTTGTATGTCCTGAATGATGAATACTTCAAGATCAAAGACTCCATGGCTGAAATCCGAAACAGTTTTCTGGACTTGCTTGGCGATGTGTTCTTTGTGGTTCCTGCCCTGGTCACAGCTCAGCATCATAGAGGTGAGTCTGAGCATCCTCTCCGGGCTATGGTGAGGCTGGTGGCCACAGAGATCCATGATGTCCACCTCTCTGCTCCTTCACCAAGGGGCTTCCCAAGGATATCTTGGCCTGAACTTTGTGACACTGACTTGCAGCTTGCCTGCCTTTCAGAGCTGGGGAATGTCGGGCAGGTCTTCCCTTCCTCTTCAGGACTCTGTAGAAATTCCCACAATCCCCAAACAAACAAACAAACAAACAAAAAACACTATGTAAGTGGGAGGCTTAAAAAACAGAGATGTACTTTCTCACAGTTCAAGAGATTAGGATTCCAAATCAGGTCTCAGCCTTGTTGATGCATTCTGTGGGCTTCTCTCCTAGTCTCTTCTCACCAGCTGTCCCTTGGTGTCCCCTTGCTTGCAACGGTTCCTCACAGAGCATCTGTCTTCCCCCTGTATGTGTCTCTGCCCATTTTGTTCTTTTTATCTGACACCACTCAGAAGGTAGCAGACTGTGGTAGTGTAGTGGTTACGAATCAAGCTGCAAACCTGAAGGTCAGCAGTTCAAAACTACCAGCTGTTCCATGGGAGAAAGAGGAGGATTTCTGCTCCCGTAAAGATTTACAGCCTCAGAAACCCTGTATAGGGTCACTGTGAGTTGCAACCTACTCCCTACTCCGTGGCACATTACCAACCAAACCAACCAACTCTAGAATGGTCTCATTACATAATAAAAGAAAGTCCAAGGGGGTGAGCTTTACGGGACAAGTGTTAGGGCTGTCACATCTCCTTTGTGGGGGATACAACTGAATTGGAGTTGTGGGTTAATGAGCCAGACTGCAAAGCCATTTGAACTGCAGGGTCGGCGGTTCAAACCCACCAGCTGCTCCTCGGAAACCTTATACAGGATTGTTACGGGTCGGAACTGACTCAGTGGCATTTAACAACAATAGCAACAATTGAATTAATGTTAACCCCCAGATTTCTTTCTCTCTGGGGTGTCTTCACAAACACTCAGCTTTAAGGAGTGGTGGAGGAATCAAGAAAGAAAAGGTAACTTGTGAAGGCACAACCTCTATTTTTATCTTTTTTTTCTGTCTCCACTTCCATCCCTCCCTCCCTCTCTCCAGGTTACCTTCTCCCCTCCCTCCCTCTCTTTCTTCTATTTCTTTCTCTCCTTCCTTCTCTGTCCCCCATCTTTCTTTTCTTTCAAAGAAAGATGCCACGGTGTGCCTGGCACTGGTCTAGATTCTGCTTGTCTCCAGAGAGTTGAATCAGGATCAATGAGAGGAAGTCATAGGAGGCAAATCCTAGCTCAGTATGAAGGACTTTTTTGAGCAATAGAGGTCTCAGTTCCCACCTCAGTCAGGCTATCCTGAGAAGTAATGAACTCCCTGCTGTAGCAGGAAACTCCAGCCTCCAATGGAAAGGGAGATGTTAATGTGGTCTCCTTTTGCCTCTGAGCTGCCCCACGTGGATCCATGACCAGGGCTAGGTGAGTGGGATGGAGGTGGGGCCAGGCTCCGCCCTGTAAGTGTGGTTCACTCATCTTTTCACAACTTTTGGCAGCGGCTGGTGCACCTGTCTACTTCTATGAGTTTCAGCACCGACCCCAGTGCTTTGAAGACACAAAGCCAGCTTTTGTCAAAGCAGATCACACGGATGAAATACGCTTTGTCTTCGGAGGTGCCTTTCTGAAGGGGGATGTGGTCATGTTTGGTAAGGAACTGCCTTACGGGGTCTTGTAGGAAGCAAAGCTTCTAACTGGTCCATTCCATGCTGACCCTTTGCTGAGAATTTGTATTTCCACCCCAGAGATACTGAATCCGAATTTGCATGTTGGCCAGATCTCCAGGAGTGATTATTATAGATTCCCAGGGGATCTGGTTCAGTTGGCGGTTGAGCTAGAATAAACCAGTTCAAAGCCCTGCCAGCTACAAAGAACTTGGGATGAAGTGAGAAGCTCAGAGTCCGCACTATAAAGTGGAAACCCTCCACATAGCCTACGAGGGAGCTTCAAACAATTCCAGGAAAAATGGAAATGATAAGATAATGGAACTTTTCCACAAAGTTTTTGAAGCCCCCTCATACATGAGTCCCCAAGGACTCATGGGTTGGGTTTTATGCTCCTATGGTTTAGAGGCCATCTTTCGCTGTAAAAGTTTCCATTCCTCGGGCTCAAGAGAGGCAACAGTTCTGCTGTGCATAAGGTCGCTCGCTATGAGTCGGTACCGACTCGATGGCACCTAACAACAACAACATCATCGCAGGAGAAGAAAGCCTCGTCTTTCTTTAGTAGGTTGGGTAGCAGGCTCGAACCACAGCCTTTGGGTTTTCAGTCCAGTGCTTATCATATGGAGCCACTGTGCTCCCAAGCCGTCACATTGTTGTTGTTGTGAAGTGTCTTTGAGTCGGATCATACTCATAGTGACCCTGTATAGGGTTTCTGAGGAGCAGCTGGTGAGTTTGAACAACTGACCTTGTGGTTCAGCGCATTAACCCACAGTGCCATACTAGGAGTCCAGACATCACATTGTTGTTGTTGTTGTTGTTAAGTGCCATAGAGTCGGTTCCGACCCATAAAGACCCTGTCTAGGGCTTTTGAAGAGCCATCACATTTGTTGTTGTTAAATGCCACCACATTGTTGTTATTGTGAAGTGCTGTTGAGTCGGTTCCAGCCCATAGCAACCCTGCATAGAGTTTCTGAGGAGCATTGTTGTTGTTGTTAAGTGCTATGGAGTCTGTTCTGACTCATAGTGACCCTGTACAGGGTTTCTGAGGCTGTAAATCTTTACAGGGGCAGAAAGCCACATCTTTCTCCCACGGAAGAGCAGGTAGTTTTGAACTGCTGACGTTGCGGTTCACAGCCCGATTTGTAACCGCTATGCTACCCGAGCTCCTTAGGGGTGAGTTAATTTAATGTTGAACCAAATAAAGCAGGCTTATTTTTAAACTGATCATTTTGTATAGCCTGCGAACGATATCAATTTTGGCAGATAAATTGTTTCTCACCCTTGGTATACAGGGTCACTATGAGTCAGAATTAGTTTGAAGGCTCTGGGTTACTGCTATATGTACTGTTTTATGTATGACTTCTTTCATGCAGTTATTTTCAGATTTATCCACATCATTGCATATGTTAAATGTTCATTCCTTTTTATTACTATATCCCAATGTATGGGCATCTTATTCATTCATATGTTGATGAACCTTTGGGTCATCTCCAATTGTTAGCTATTAACCATAAACCTGCTATAAACACTTGTTGTATGGAAAAAAAGTCTTCCATTCATATTTTTAAGAGCCAAGATAAAAAAGTCCTGCCATCATTCATTTGATACCAACTCAAAGTCTATGGAGGTGGGTGGAGTCCTGGGGTGGCTCTGTGGGCTAATGCGTCAGACTGCAAAGTCATTTGAACTACAATGTCAGTGGTTCAAGCTCACCAGCTGCTCCTTGGAAACCCTAATCAGAGTTGTTATGGGTCGGAATCGACTTGATGGCACATCACAACATCAATGGAGGTAGGCACTTCAAGACTCTCAGGCAATCTCATTTGTTTTCTAATAAGATCCACTCTCGTCCTTCTTGCTGATCCCTGGCCTTACCTCACTGTTGTTCTCAGAACTCCTTGTTGCCAGACATTTTCACAATTCCGAAGAGCTCTGCATCCAAGTAAAACCCAAACTCACTGCCACTGAGTTGATTCTGACCCCTCACAGTCCTATAGGAAAGGGGACTACTGTACCACTGAATTCCCAAGGCTGTGCTGTCGTCTTTATGGGAGCAGACCCGTGGAGCAGTTGATGGGTTCAAACTTCTTCTGCTTAGCAGCTGAACACGTAACTACTGCAGCACCCAGGCTCCTTTCTAGATCTAGATGATACCATGTAAATGCGATGAACTGCTACTAGTGAGGTTCGTTCATTTATTTCTGAACTGATTTCAATGTTTCAAAATTAGAAGTCAATCAAATGAGATAATCGATAGAAAAATGACAGGAAACAATATACAGTACAAGTTCTTAAGGAAGGAACAGTCTCTCTGCCATAAAGGCAGAGTGTTTGCAGACCATGGTTTATTCATTAGTTCACTTATTCATGCTTCTCTGGAAAATACAGACAATACCAGAATCACCGAACCACGTCCTAGGTTGTCCTAAGGAGTAAATGAAATGAGTCGCATAAAGCACACACTGAGTGCTTAATAAATATTACTATTATTATTACTCATCAGCTATTACTGAGCTCTGATGTAATAAGCACATTGTTGTTGTTAAGTGCTATCGAGTCAGTTCCAACTCATAGCGACCCTGTAGAGGGTTTCCGAGAAGCGGCTGGTGAGCTTGAACCACTGACCTTGAGGTTCAAACCGGCCTTACAGTTCAGTGCATTAACCCAAAGTGTCACACCAGGACATAAGCACATAGACTCTACAAATGGGGACGAAACAACACATGTCAGTTAATTTTCTTAATACTTAGTTGTGTTCCGACTTAAAGCAACCCTCTCTAGGGTTTCCTAGGTTTTAAATATTCTCAGGAAGAGAAAGCCTCATCCTGTGAAGTAGCTGATGGGTTTAAATGGCCAAACTTGTGGTTTTCAGGCCAGTGCTTACTGTATAGAGCTCCATGAAATCAATAAGACATGGCTAACCAGGTAACAGAGAACTTATGAAAGAGAAAACACAGGTGTTTTGAAACATAAGAAAATCCACTCCATCTCACTCTTAGCAAGACAACTGCAAACTAAACTCGACTTAAGAATCCTTTTCTTCAGACAGATTGGGAAGAACACAATGCATTCCAGCATTTGAGGAAACAGACAATTTCATACAACCATGACAACATACATGTGGTTTTTAATCTAGCAATTCCACTTCTAAGAGTTTTAGCACAACTGTACTTTCCTAAGTGCGAAATCTAGGTGCATGTTGTTGTTAGGTGCTATCTAGTCGGTACCGACTCACGGTGACCTTATGCACAGCAGAACAAAACAATCCTGGGCCAACCTCACTATCATTGCCCCGCTTGAACCCATTGATGCTGCCACTTTGTCAATCCATCTTGTTGGGGGTCTTCCTCTTTTTCTCTGACCCTGCACCCTACCAAACATGCATAGTAAAGCATTTATTTTATCAGCATAAAGTTGGAAACCACCTAATAACCCAATAGGTGATGGTGGTGGTTATGTGCCGTGGAGTTGGTTCCGACTCACAGCGACCCAGTACAGGGTTTCCAAGGCTGTAAATCTTTATGGGAGCAGAAAGCCTCATCTTTCTCCCACGGAGCAGCTGGTAGTTTCGAACTGTTGACCTTAAGGTTCGCAGCCTGATTCGTAACCACTATGCTACCAGAGCTCTTTAATGACCCAATAGAGTACTGAATAAATAAGTTCTATATTTATAATATGTATTATAAATATTTACATATAAACATAAATCTATACTCATTATATTTCTAGAACAATATTGGCAGCTTTAAAATAAATGATCATGTGGAACTATCTGCTAGATACAACTTCAGTAAGAAGAGCAAGATGTCCAATATACTATAAAGTATGCAGAAAAGAGTTCAGCTACACACATATATACTTCTGACTAAGCTTTGGAAGGGTGTTTGAGAGGCTGGTACCAGTCATTGCTTCTCAAGCTGGTAACTGGGTGTCTGGAGGGAAGAGATGAGAGGGAAACTATTTTTATTAGGTGCCCTTTCCTCAGTTTGCATTTTGTATCTTGAGCAGGTGCTATCTTTTCATATAAAGAAGTATAGTAATCAATTATTTGCAAAAAGGAGAGAGACACACACACAAACAGAGGTGGGATGGTCTCTGTCCCCAAGGAAACTATAGCTTCTTACCCGAGTGGTCTGAATGAGCACTGAAAAGTCATAGAAGACAATTTGGAAACCCTGGTTGCTCCTACACACCACTGGGTCATCAGCTGCCACCATTTGGAAGCCATTATTGCTTGGATAAGTCCCTATTGCCCTAAGCCTCAGTATCTGCAGCTACAGAATGGGTACAATGACTTTGTAGGCTTGTGAGCATCTGAGGGGAAGTGAGGAATGAAGTGATTTATCAGCTGTAAGGTGCCTTGGTCCTCTGGAAGACCACTGTGAACAGCTGGATTCTGTGATTGTCTCTTTCAGAGGGAGCCACAGAAGAGGAGAAGCTGTTGAGCAGGAAGATGATGAAATACTGGACGAACTTTGCTCGGACCGGGTAAGTGGACAGTTAGGGCTTCCCTGTAACCAGCATGTTTAAGGAGGAAAACCTCATCCATTTCCACTCTCACTTCCAGGAATCCCAATGGGGAAGACTTACCTCTGTGGCCAGCTTACAATCAGGCTGAGCAGTACCTGCAACTGGATTTGAACATAAGAGTTGGAGAAAAACTAAAAAAGTCAAAAGTGGAGTTTTGGACAAATTCTGAACCTCTGATAAAATTCTCTTCTGGGTCTCTCCTCTGTCCTCTCTCCTCCTTGTACTTCCTGTCTCTGTTCTTACCATTCTTTTTCCTTTTTGCTCCTTAAGATATTATCTTTTGGATTTCCTTCTTTTTCTACAATTTGTCCCACAATTATTAGCTTCATTCTAAGTCTGGCTGTTTTCTGTGGAGATCTTTTTAGAAAGAGCTTCTTTGGCTGATGTTTTATGGATATGGGGGTTATCCTTGTGGAATTCACACTTTACAAAATGCCATTTGGAATGGAAGGCTACCGGATTTCCTCAATAAATCTAGAGGAAGATTGATCTACTTGTTGGCATAGTAATGATCTCATTACTCACTGGAAATAAAATCAGAATGTAAAATATGTAGAAGGAACAGAATTTGATTCCATGCTAAAAAGTCCCCTTTCTCCTGTGATATCCAAGATGAAGTAGAGGTTCTATCAGAGAAGAAGTCTATGTGGAGTACCTAAACTACGAGTCCTCCAGCCCTAATCTTGTGGCGTTTCAATCCTGAGGCATGATGAGATGAATGTGAATGTTGTTGGATTTGAACTGACTCTCATCTAGGGCTCAGTGAGCTATGTGGAGGTGCGGGGTGCTGGGGAGCCTACTCCTCAGCAGTGGAAACCAGATGCCATCCAAGGTGAAGAACCCAGAAGTCAAATGCCAGGCAGCATTGATCCCAAGAAGTAAAAAGGCTTTCCTAATTCCTAGAACTCTCAGGTTGAGACGAATTCCTCATTAAATAAATCTACACGGGGTGCCTGATACGTATGAGCCCTAGAGAAATAGTGCTGAACAAACTATGGCTTCTATCACATGATGAGCAGACAGACAGTAAGGAAACATACAAGGGAACACTTGAAGATTAAATGTGATTAGTAGTACTCAGGAAAAGTAAGGTTTTAGAAAATGTAGCAGGGGAAACTAATCTAGCCTGAAGTCTTAGGAGACTCTCTGGAGAAGTAACATTCATCTTAAGAAAATATAAGTAAAAATTAAGCAGACGATAGATAGGGAGAATTTTTTTTTCTCATAATATTCATGTCATTCTTCAGGGCAATTTGTTTTTCTGTGTGACTGCTTCAAGGTTACAGATCATGTGCCCAGAATAGGGGTGTTTGGGTGGGTCCGAGATCCCCCATTCCTGCCCTGAATCCAGCCCCAGAAGTGTTTTGTTTAGCAAGCTTTCTAATTCACTGACAGCTCATTTCAACAATGGGAAAACTAAAAGCCACATTTTTAGCTTCTCAAAAACCAGAAAGTGCCACCACCACCACCAGCAACACAAACCAGAAGATTGGACCATATTGAGGCTCATTCCCACAGAGCACTCAGCACTCCCACCAGCCCCTACAGCACCAGCATGCAAATTAGGAGCATGTGCCCACCCACTCCCACTTGCTCTCTACAATGATCTTCCCGGAAACTGCCATGATGGATATCTATGGCCTTGATGTGATTGGTAGTCCCTCTGAAGTGGTGTCCTTGTACAGTGCATAACTCGTGCAACTGTTCACAGTGCCCCGGTGAAGCCATCCACCGGAACTGAGTAGTGGTCTTTCCATGGTTCTCACTATTTCCCTTTGTCTCATGCCTGGCCCACTTAAGTTTGGACCCCTGACTTCATTTGGCAGAGAACTGCATAGAGGTAAAGGGATTTGCCCAAATCACTCAGTGAGTTAGCAACAAGTCAGAAGCAAGAAACAACCAAAAAAAAGACTTTGGGTGTCTTGTCACCCAGGGAAAGATTTCTCCCTACAGTGTTTCCTGCATCTCTTAGCAGATGGTTCATGCCTGTAGGGACGGGTGTCTCTGGCTTAGGTGATGGTGGGAGGGGTGGATCAGTGACACTTGGGCCCACCTCATAGCTCTAGGAAGAGGGACTGGACCACAGGCAAGCAAGCTGGAAACTCAACGGTTTCTCCAGAGAAAGAAAGCTCTTTTCTACATTGATATTTGAAGAAGCCAACCACTAGGAAACATCATCCAACTCGGTTTTTAAAAATACAATTGCAGCATTTATGCACCACTCACAGCCCCAGCATCCCAGAATCTGGTTCTAATTCTGGTAAGTGTCCTGATGTGGGAAGCACATTTCCAAGTCTTCCACTTACTGGACCCTCTTCTGTTCCTGTTCTTGTCCACAGACAATGAAATGTTCTGTCTAGTTCAAGTTGAAAAGCAAGTGCCTCTTGGCATCCTGTTTTTGTTTTCTACTTCAGTTAAGGTTTTCTGTCAAGGATGTAACTAGTATAATCACTTGGGGGTGGGGGGACTTTCCAAATTTTCCAATGTCAAGGCTACTCTCCAGTCCAACTGAAACAGAATTCTCGTGGAAGAGACCTATATTTTCATTTTTTAGGCATTCTGGACCCGATGCACAACCACAGAGCCTAATGTGCTGTTGTTGTTGTTGTGAAGTGCCATCAAGTCGGTTCCGACGCATAGCGACCCTATATAATTTCTTTTTCTGCAATGATCTTGCACCTAACTCACTAAATCACACAAACCGTTGACAGATTAAATCGGTCTTAACCGGTGAGTTTCGTAATGTCCAGCAGAGGGCAGCCTTTTAATAGGAAAAACAGCTTCTTTCCATTCAAGAAATGTTGGTACTGAGCTAGTCTAGAAGAACTTGAAGGGGAAAGAAAACACAAAGTAGTTAAATTATAGCCCCATGTTGTTGTTGTTAGGTGCCATTGAGTCGGTACCAACCCATAGCAACCGTATGCACAGTAGAACGAAACACTGCCCAATCCTGGGCCAACCTCACTCCTGTTGCCACGTTTGAGTCCATCGGTGCTTGCCACTTGGCCAATATTTTCCCTTTTCTCTATCTGTGGATCAGTAACATTAGAAATGGGGAAAAGCACAGCCCTAGTCTTGGTGTGGCGCTGTAGGATAAGCACTGGACCGAAGGTCTGTTTGAACTATGAGGTCAGTGATTCAAACACACCTAGGAAACACTATATTGGGTCGCTAGGAGTTGGAACCGACTCAACAGCACTTAATAACAACAACAGTTACCTAAACAGTCTGACTGAAATGATAAAACTCATGAGGAGACCACAGATGGGGACCACCAGATTTGGTTTTGCTTTTCTTATTGTTTTGTATTTTCCCATCAAGTTCCTAGGAATTCACCGGAGATGGGTCTAAGGGTGTTGCATGCTCTACGGCTTCCTGTGCCCTCCCACTTCCCTCCAGGGTCATTTAGACTCTGGATCTTTCTACTCAACCCAAAGCCCAGTCCAGTGCTCCTCTGGCTCTGTCTGTACGTTTTCCACTGTCCTCTGGTGTCCCGTGGGCAGAGGCAGGACCCAGTGTGGAAGGTAGACTCAGTTCCTGAGCCTGAAGAGTTGCTGCCAGCGTTGCCCTGCATAACGTTGACAAGCTGAACCAGCCGCTTTGGTCATGACCCTGTGCTCTTCTCAAAGCTGATATTAAGAGTATCCCCTTTTGTTGTTGTTAGGTGCCATCCAGCCGATACTGACTTATAGCGACTCTATGCACAACAGAATGAAACACTGCCCGGTCCTGGGCTAACCTCACAATTGTTGCCACGCTTGAGTCCATCGATGCTGCCACTTGGCCAATCCATCTCGTTGGGGGGGTCTTCCTCTTTTTCTCTGACCCTCCACCTTACCAAACATGATATCCTTCTCCAGCGACTGGTCCCTCCTGACAATATATCCAAAGTATGAGACACAATGTTTGGACATCTTGACCTCCAAGGAGCACTCTGGCTGCACTTCTTCCAAAACAGATCTATTGGTTCTTTTGGCAGCCCATGGTACCTTCAATATACTCCTCCAACACCATGACTCAAAAGCATCAATTCTTCTATGGTCTTCCTTATTCACTGTCCAGCTTTCACATGAAATTGAGGTTATTGAAAATTCCATGGCTTGGGTCAGGTGTACCTTAGTTCTTAAGCTGACCTCTTTGTTCTTCAACACTTTTAAAAGGTCTTGTGCAGCAGATTTGCCTAATGCAATACTTCGTTTGATTTCTTGACTGCTGCGTCCATGAGTGTTGATGGTTGATCCAAGAAAAATGAAGTCTTTGACAACTTCAACATTTTCTCCATTGGTAAGAATGTTGTTTATTGGTCCCCTTTCAGTTACATGAAACTTGCAGTGGTGAGAGGAGGCCAGCCCAGCCAGGCCCATGACTGATATTTGCAAGGTTGCTAAGGCACAACTTGTATACCTTGACCTGAAGGAAACAGATTGCTTTCTTTACAGGGAATGATGTGTTAAAAGGTGAATCTATCTATCTATCTATCTATCTATCCATCTAGCTATCATTGGGGATCCTGATGTGGCACTGTAGGATAAGCACTAGACTGCTAACATAAGATCAGTGGTTCAAATCCAAAAGCCACTCCTTAGAAACTCTATACAAGTTCGGGGAACTGACACAAAGACACTTAAAAACAACATCTATCTATCTATCTATCTATCTATCTATCTATATACATATCTGAGCCTTTTTATATATATTTATGTTTATGTGTTTACCTGTGGAGTTTTCATATGTGAGAGCCAGTGTATTCAATATATGCTTTTGAGATGGATCTCAGTACATATAATAGTCCTGATTAAAATTAATTTCTAAAATTGATCATCTATATTCTATCCTATAAGCTATAATTTATATAATCGTTCCTAATTTTATCTGTGTCAATCCTGCTTTCTCTTTCAGATAATTAGGTCATAAGGCCAGGTAAACATTTTAATTGTAATACAGAAAATAAAATATATACAGAATGTAATACAGAAAATAAAATATTTGCATACATGTCTTGGTGTGGCACTGTAGGATAACACTGGACCACCAACCACAAGATTGACAGTTCAAGCCCACCAGTCACTTTATGCAAATACTATACAGGGTCACTATGAATTGAACCAACTCAATGGCACTTAACAACAACAACCCTTCTTATATGTGTATTTATATGTATATACATTGATGACAAAAGCCCAACACACTTGTGTAATCAGAAACCAATTTAAGAAATAGAATATAATTCGTAGTGGTTACGAATCGGGCTGCGAACCTTAAGGTCAGC